GGCCCACGCGGGTCGCGCCGAAACCTCGTAGACTTGTCTGGCCAAGGGACCAAAAGACCTGAGTAATAGTACCAACGAAACTAGTATAACAATTCTAAAGATTTTACTTAGAATCCACAGTAGCGCCTCCAGCTCGCCCAGCGGGTCGCGCCGAAACTGAGACTTGCTGCACGGAGCAGAAGATTCAGTTTTTGATAAAAGCATGATCTGTAGGTTGGCATGTGTCTGTCAAGTTGCTTTCAGCATGTCAGGGTGGCAAATAAGCACGCCCGAAGGATTCTGCCGAATTGCGACTTGCTGCAGGGAGCGAAAGGGGTTTGTGATCCAACAAAGTAGATCATTCTGGACAATGTCTGATCATCCACAGTAGCGCTTCCAGCACCCCCAGCGAGCCGCGCCGGAAGTAGGACTGGCTGCTCCGGAGCAGAAACGTTCCTAATTTCAAGAAGCTGTTGACGATCTGAAGGGTTAAAGGTTCACTGACATGCAAAGATGACTGACTAAGATACTATTAGGTTTACCCATGGACCTTCGGCTTTGTCTATGTTGCCACGCCCAACAGGTGCTGAAACTGCGGCTCGCTGCCATCTGCAAAGTGCTTCAACAAACTGTTGATAACCTGGAGATTCAATTGCACTGAAAATCTTCTGTCTGGTCAGTCGGGACACAATTCGCTATGTCTGATTTGCACTGTACCACGATTGCAGGGGTCCCAATGAATCTGCGACTTTACTGCGGGGACAGAAGTAACAAGTATTTAAACATATTGCGATGTCTTGGAAGTGAAGATGTGTGGAGACTCCTGTCAGGTCAGGGGAAAAGCACGCCCAACAGGTCGCCGAAGTGCAAGGGGCAGAAGAGTTTCGCTTTTCAATAAATTGCACTCCCTACCCCAATCTTCGCCTTCACCCTGTCTGTGGGCTCTTTTTCGAAACCCTTGCAATCCGACGCCCAAATCACCTCAGGCAGAAGGGAAACAAGTTTACTGACCTGTCCACCCAAATGGAGTACCGAAGGTTTGGCATAACCCGGTGCGCGAGCATCTTGGGGATCTTGCCGTTGCGCCGCTGGTCCGAGAACGGCAGGTTGGAGACCACGACAACGCGCCACCGCCCGATCTTCCGCGTGTCCCTATCGCGAACGAACCCCGCAGCGCCTTGGACCTCCAACGTCACCTCGTCCCAAAAGGCGATGTAGCAAACCTGGGGAAGAGTGAGGTACTGGGTTAAACTGCCCTCAAGCCAGACCCTTGATCTGTTACGCGTGCAGCGTGAAAGGGACTCCGAAAGAGCACTGAATTCGAACGTCACCGCATACAAAGAAGGTGGGCCAAGGAAAGCGAGAGAGTCGAGTGCCCACCCGCCAGGCAGTCTGATTTCGAGTGTGTATTTTGGAACTCTGTAGAGACAGGCTAGTCCGGACGCTCCAAAAACTACATAGATTCTCTGGCTGTTTGCTTCTCGAGGCAGAAGGGACCTCTGAAACCCGCATGGTATCCGAATTGTATGACCTGAGTAACAGCAGACTCCTCCAAAAGGTGAGTCACTGACTGATTGGTGATTAGAGACCACGAGAAAAACCAAACTCGACCTTGCAGCAATTCTTCAATTGAAGAGTTGCAGTCAGAGTTCAGTCTTAATTGCACGAAACTGTGCACAAAATGAGGAAAACAGAGCAACACACCTTCTTCAGCGCAACTTTTGTTGCGCCTATCGGCTGGTACAGCTCGTCCCCGCCCCCAAACGCCGCCGTAATCACGGCTACCTTGCACCGCCGAATGTCGATCATATCCCTCTCGTCCATTTGAAAGAATGGCCCACTGCCCGCCAATCTTTCGCTTACAGCGCTCTCGCCCTCTCCCCCAGCCTCCTTACTCGCGTCTTTCCCTTCCTCTGCCCCCATTAAGTTGCTCTCGCCTATGGCACCAGCCCCCATATCAAACTCGAGGAGCCCTCTCACGGGCCGTCTCTCCTGGTGAGGGCTTTCAAAAACCCCCAGATCAGCAACCCCTCTCTCTAACGGCAACCCTTCGAAGTCAGACGTTGCCTGTTCGGAATCGACTTCTCCCTCCTCCGACAATGCAAGAAGCCGTCTGCCTGCCACACGATCTCCCCTCCCCACCCCCTCAGCTTCCGCATCGCTCGGCCGCCACTCCTCAGGCACGGAATCCGCAAACCCGCAGTACACCTCCATCTGTTCCCGTACCTCAAAGCTCCTCCGCCGCTCTTCCAACGATTGGTTTCCTGTAAACATCCAGGCCAAACCCCCCGGACCAGAGTCCTCCCCTTCTGCAGTCCCTGGCTCCGCCACAATCTTCTTTTCGGGGGGAAGGGAGTAGTAGAGCAGCTTCTTTACAGGCCCCGGGGTCGGGGGGGGTAGCCGCAGCTTCTCGATTCTTTCAGGGGGGGAGAGCAGAAGGCACGGCTCAGTCTTCCCGTGAATGTGCCGCATCGGCATGTCCATCCGATTCAGTGCGCTCGCCGCCCCGCTTCCATTCCCGACAGAATGCACGAAGTCGTCGACAAAGTCCTCCTCCCACACTTCCCCGGTATCTTCCAGCTTCTGAAACCCCTCCCCCCCCATCCTCCCGAGGTTCACCTTGCGCCCCTCCCAGACCTGCTCGAGCATCGCGCGGCTCTCCGCGCCCCACCCGAACCCCCTCCCCCGCTCCGCGTCGTACGCCTTCGGGTCGATCCTCAGCATCGCGATAAGCAGCAACGCCATACCCAACACGCTGACCACCAGAAACCACACGCGCCAGCTCAGCCGGATCGTCACGCTCGCCGGCCGCGTGCTCGTCGACCGGCGCAGAGGAGACTGCCGCACATGGTGCCGGCTCACCCTCAGCGGCACTGCCCCCGCCCGGGGGCTGCCAGCCGGGACCCCTGCCCGGGGGGAGACGGTGCTAGCTCGGGGGGACCCCCCTCCAGCATCCGAGCTGTATTCTTCGCCGTACCCGCCGAAAGAGCTGCGTCCGACGCGGGAGGAGAGGGCGCCGGCACGCGGGGAGTGGTGGGGGGATCCCCCGGAGCTCCGCGGGCTGCCGGTGTCGAAGCTCCCGCTCTCGAGGACGGCCTCGAAGGCGGAGATGTTGTTGCGGGGGGAGAGGCTGGAACGGGACGTCATCTGTGCCTGGGGAATGGAGGGGGGGTGCGGGTGAGGTTACGTGAGGGGTTATGTGACCACTTCTGTGGAGTCAAAGCTCCATCAGCGACTTTCGCTGTCTTAGCTTAATTCTTTGCGATCGTCAGCAATCTGAGGGGAGAGGGGATAGTGGTGAGCCGATATGATCCTTTCAGAGGACTTACAACCAGCAAAGGCACGTAAAAATAGAGGTCTGAAATCGTGAGGAGACTTGTGAGTTGAGAGAGTCACAGCAAATTGCTCTGGCTGTGAAGATCACTTTGTGTAAACTGCTAACTGCAAATGTGCGAGTGTCAACATCAAATTTTCATCAACATTCTAGACTTGATTTTCGAATCCCAAGTTGCAGGTGGGGTTTCCTTTGATCACGACTTCTTCAAAGATTGCTCAAAACTGATTGTGGCCTTTCAAGAACCATGTGCTTGCATCTTGAACCTGCTTGCATCTTGAACCTGTAAAAACGAAGTCAGCTGGTGGGTTTTAAGAACGACATATAGAAGCAGCATCATTGTCTGCAATCGCGTCAGGAAAGTTGCTTCTTTTTGCACTTTGCATCAATTCAGATGCGGGATGCGATCACTTGAGGTGTTCGCACGTATCTTCACTCTCTGGATCAGCGCAGGGCAAGATGTAGATGTGGTCCAGTTCTTCAATGATCGATGATCGATCAATGCGACTTCTTGGAATTCCCACCAAACCTTCAAACTCTGAGAATGACTGCCACTTCACTATGTGTGTTCCATGATGTCAAGACCAAGGGCCACCAACCTTCGCCATATCCTAAGAATCGGGGTTCCCATGTAAAAATAGTCTTTAGGAGCAGGACGCTACTAGCAGCAGAATGGATCAGAAGGCCCCATGCTTTGAGTACGTGCTACTATCAAAATCTCCTGAAAGTGAGGCCCTTCTGTTGCAAAGCATCGTGCTCGCTTTCAGCTGCAAATTAATCACTAAAAAAAAACAGACGATTGTCCTCACCGCCTTCCACCGTTCTTCATCAATCCTTGGACGTCATCACCGTTTGATGGTGACCCGCTGTCCGCATACTCAAGCGGCACCGGCTCTATGATGATCTTTGAGGATCAGCTGGAAAAAAGATGAGAAGGGAAGGTTCTGTTGTGGCTTGCGTCTACCTTGCGATAAACCATCAAGCAATGGAACTTGGAAGCATGATTGAGCTGCTCTCCGACTCTGAGGCCATCTGAGCTGAAGAAGCTTGACGAACTTCATACGACTTTCTAAAGGAAGCGAAATGGTCTCTGGCGTAGACCGTATGAGCCTCGTTCGCAACTGATTTTCAATATGTTCACGGTAAATTCTGCACAGAAGTTCTGAACCAGTCTGACTGGACTAGTTCGTGACCGACTTGGTCGTGACTCGTCACTTGGAACGTCATATTGGCGTAGTTTTGCGAAGGAGGCACGCCCGCCTATACTTACTAATAGCTGCAAAAAACATCCGCTTTTCTGCAATCAATATTGAACAACTTTCACTTTTTAATACGGCAGACGCGGGCAAGAACAGGAGGCACTTGGAGAACGAGAGAAAACACCACCACCTGGGCAAGGGGGGAGGAGGGAAGGGATTTTGGACTTGCGTCTAATTGCAGAAGCATGCTGCACGAAATCCCGATGGGCAAGCCAAAGCATTTCTTGGGTCTGAAGCAGCTTTCAGCCGCAGCTCAGCTGATGAACCTTTACAGCCCTCACAGCATTGCATAAACTGCAACCTTCCAGAGTAGCCGTCCAACTAGAGATTGTATCTGCTTGGAGGGGCTCAAATTGGCCAGCATGGAGGCCGCAGAGGCTACTGCACTCAATGGAAGGAGCGGTAGAGAGGAGCAAGACTTCAGCGACATTGACAGAGCAGAGGAGATGAAGTCGCTGCAGCGTGTCCTTGATGCCTACATAGAGTACAGGTGACCAATTGTACACAGAATGAAGAATCAAATGAGATAGAATCAAACAATCACAAAGTGATGGTAGGTGGTGGTATGTCAGAACTGTTCCAAATGTTCTTCTGTCATACTCGACAAAAGTGTTCTGCTTTCTGGGACCACAGGCAAGTGGTACCAAGAATGTCTATGATAATTTCACCCTACCTTTGATTTGGTACTTCGGGGGATGTGAACCTTTTCTACCCGCAGCTTTTGGGCCTGCCAATCTTCCTGTACAAGCTGCAGCAGGGCGTCATGCTTGGATGCGCCTGTGCTGAAAAAAGACGACAAGAATGTGCTCACACAAACCGCCCTTTGGCTTCCCACCATGCTGATACTCCAGTTCCAGTCCCCGTTCAGAAGCACTTCTCAAGTTCCAATATGTTGGTCCTCTTTCCTTCACCAAGGGGTCAATTGAAGATGACTTCATTTAGAATATGCTGTGTCGCTTTCTCTCTACCAGGGGCTCCGTAGAAGATGACATCATCAGGTGGGAGCGGTCGTACCACCACCTGACACCCCCTCACCGCGCCCTCGTCCCCGAGCTTCCCTCAAAGTACACAGCCCTGCGCCGCTGCGCCGACCAGAACGCACTTCTGATTGACGCCATGCTCCAGTCGTTTGATGCCCCTTTTCAGTCTCGACAAGCTGAGGACCCTTGGACAGCCACCGCTGTTCCGCAGCCGGAAGCAACAGTGACTGAGAAGTCAACAGACGGCGGGGACCAAGTAGCGGGGGGGGCGCTCGAGCGAACTTCTCAGGGAAATGGACCAATCGAAGCAGTCCGGTGGAGCGGCCAGAAAAGGAGCAGGCCCGAAACAAGCGCCTCAGAGCCGACGCCCCGAGAAGTGGGCCAAAAATTGGGGCCCGCTGATCAGAGATCGCTCGACCACTCAGAGGAGGCTGCAAGTGGTGATGTGGATCTAGGCCCCTGGGAGACGTCAGGAATTGGTGTGAATGGGAACCGAGGGGGGGAGCCTGTTCACAGTCAGAATGTTGCGGGTGCAGGCAGAGAGCCCGAACCTGTTCGGACTCAAGGTGGTGTGTCTGTTGTTGAAGGGAGGGAGCTTGTTCACATCCCTGGTAGGACGAGAGGTTACGGAGACTCAGAGCCTGTTCACACTCACGCGGGTATGGAAGCATATGGTGAGGGGCGGCCTGTTCACACCCATACAAATGGGCTGCCGTATGCGTGGGGGGATGGGCAGGCGACCGAAGACTTTCACAGGCGTGTTCCTCCTAGCGATGTCGAAAAGGTGATAAGGTCAATCCTTATGATTTTGATAAACGATAATCAGCATCGATACCTTTGGCCCATGCCCTTTTGCTTTTTTTTACTGTTGTCGAGCCGTTCTGAGCCCTTGTCCCCCTGAACCAGGATCAGTCAGCTTTGTGCGCCCAGGATATCAGTCAAATTTTGTGAAAGAAACTTGTTTGGCCGAAAGCTTGTGATGCAGTCATTATCTTGTCTTGTGTTGGAAGTTATACGAAAGACCGGGTCCGTCTCGTGTCCGCAGTCTGTGCCTGTCTTTTGATTCAAGGTCAAGTGCAGAGATTTCGAGTGTGGAATAACCCCTCTGCAATTTTCTGCCCCCACCTTGAACGTGCCGCGTCGTCCAACACTCGAGCTTGGTCACTGTTTCAGATCCGTTTCCTTATTTCCCTTCATATCCTCTTATATCCTCTTAAACTTTAAATTTCTTCCACCTACTGGGAAATCAAAGTGCCAGGGGGGACTTCACCTTAAGCCCGTCAATGCTTACTACCCCTTACACTCTCGACACATTGTCTGCGACCAAAGACAGGAGGGTTTGCACATGATAAGACACGGTTACAACCACTGGGTTGCTGAAATAACCATATCCAAATCATATTGGCCTTTTGATTCATCATAAGTACGCACTAACCAAAGCTGGTTACTGCAAACCAGGTCCGGTGCGTCCTGCGGAACATCGTCCGCGACTGGACGTCCGAGGGTGCCGCCGAAAGGTCCGCATGCTATGGTCCGATCCTGGCGGAGCTGCGGAGCTGCTTTCCGGAGGGGAATTCCGGCTCCGCCCAGCCCCTTAGCTGCGTCGTGCCGGGCGCCGGGCTGGCACGGCTTGCGTGTGAGATCTCGCGCCTGGGCTTCGAAGTCCAAGGCAACGAGTTCTCGTACTACACGCTCATCGTGTCCAGCTTCATCCTCAACATGTGGGTAGAGATGTGGTCTGGGGTTTGCGGATGTTCGGACTCTGGGTTCTTGCTTTAGGATTAGATGCTTTCTCGTATGCTTTCTCATAACGCTATTTGTGTCGGGCTTCATCTTCAACATGTGGGTAGAACTGAATTTCGTTTGAATAGTTGGAGAAGTGATTGACTTCGATGAGTGTGCTTTGGGTTCCCGACATGGGCTGGTTTGGCTTCCGACCACGAAGGAAAGAGCGGCGTTTGCAGCTGTGATTAGCTGAATTTGTGCTGCAGCTATTTCGGCTTTTTGGTCGAAGGGTACAGTCAAGTGGGATTGGAAGTTGCCTGCTGCTTGCAGAAGTATATAGGGCAAGAATGATTTTTATCCAAAGTTCTGTCATAGTTGTTTCTTGAGATAGTTACCGCTCCCATGTGCTGTTACTCTTCGAGAGTGGGCGTCTTTTGCTGATCAAGAGTGAGCAAGGGTAATAGACAGAATTCTGAACGGTGTTGTTCAGGCGGAAAAGAAAGACGGCTTTGAGTCGCGGACTCTGTTTGGTGAGGCTCGATCTGCATGGTGAAAGCGTAGGCAGATGCTATCATTTCCGGATTTGGGTGTCAAGAAAGCATCCTTAAGTTACATCTACCATCAGCGTTTGGAAACGAGACCTTAGTCCAAGTTTTGAGCATGGACCTTCGAGGGAGACCCTGCAAATGTCCTCACCATGTTTCATAGAAACGGTATCTATGTAGCTCACAAACCGGAAATACCTGCCGAAACTTTTCAAGGCAAGAAAGGAATGTGCTTGACCCGCACTTGCCCTCTGCAGGACTGATCAGGCCCACGAATGGACCTTCTACCCGTACATTCACTCGCAGTGCAATACGCGGCGGGATGACGACATGCTTCGGCCCGTCACGCTTCCAGATTTGCACCCGGGCAGGCAAGCGCCATCCTTCTACTCGTGTTTCATTGTTGCGCTGTCGATTTGAGCGTTTACCTCTGCCTTGACAGTCGCTGCTTTGTCTGTGCTCGTCCAGGTTCCTGGTCGGAAAAAGGCTTGAAAATAACCCCGGTGTGGGTTGTTCAGCGCACGTTTGCAAGAAGGCTAACTCCATCTTGGATAATTTGAGGCGTGACTTCATAAGATCGAAACAGAAAGGGAGTAGCGGCTGAGTACACGACAAGATCCGGCCTGCGTTGTTACGCTACCCGTTCACCAAGGCTCAAAAAAGGTGATGCACTCCGACTGATCCTTTATCCAAGCTCGAGACCTTCCTGCTGAGAATGGTGCATGGCTGTTTGCAGTGCTGGCATCACGGACGGGTTCTCAATGTGTGCGGGCGACTTCTTGGAGGTCTACGGGGGCCGCCATCAAGCGGGTAAGTTGAACAAAATGTGCGAACGTAAGATTTTGGATAAACTGTGGATCTGACGGGTCTCAAGAGTGGCGTCTGAGGACAGGATTGTGGCACGTGTACAAATTGGCGGCGCCTTCTTCCGTCCGTCTGATAGACAGTTGGTATATCGCTGCCAATCGCGCCCTCGTTTTGAATTGTCGGGGACTACCGTTCTGCTATCGTTCCCAAGGGTTAAAACCCCTGTTTCAGGATCATTTCTCTCAGATTTGATTGGGCTAATTCCAATCAAATGAGCAATTCGGGGAAGCCACACGTTGGCTAGCTGATGAGCAATTCCTGTCAGTCCTTGCTATTTGAGCGCGGAGCCAACCACCAAAATCTGCTCGTTCGTTGACACACAAGTAGAACTTGGTTGATCTGCTCTGGATCAAGTTGACACTATGGAGACTGGTCAGCAGAAGCCCGACTCTTTTGTTCCGCCCGTTTTCAGGTGCGTGGGACAGCGTGGTCACGTGCTTCTTCATCGACACCGCGCACAACGTGATCGCGTACCTGGAGGTGATTGCGCGCATTTTGAAGCCCGGAGGGGTGAGCCCATCGGTCCGCCTCTTTGACTTTTTTCGAGACAGCGTGTTCGAAAGGCTTAGATAGGAATGGTGCTTTTGCTGCTCTCCGGCTATTCGGCTGATTCGTGTCTTTTTTCAGTTTGCTTTGCCACCTATTGGCACTATTCCTGGGAAGCGGAGGTGATGGACAAGAGTGATGTGTGGACCAGGCGCAACAAGGGCTCTATCTCTCTCATTCTTTGGTTGTCGTTTCCTGACCTTGGTTGAAGCGCGAAAAGGATGCATAACCTACGAAAAGAGCTGGAGTAAGAGGCAAGTGCGACAGGCGGCTCGCGCTTGGACCATCTGTCTCAAGGAAATGTCTTCCAAGGACCCTGCTGCACCCGATCCCGCAAATTTTTGAAATTGCAGCCCTTTTGGACGCCTCAAAGATTGAATCTAGTGCTACCTTCCGTTTGGAATCTTAACGGTATTCGAACACCAGTTTACAGCGCCCGTCTGCAGTCGGTTGGCGCGAGGATTGCATTTTCGACGACATTCTGATCTCGAACAAGTCGCATTTGATCTTACAACAACTAAATGCTGCCTGGAAGCTGCTAATACTCCCTCAAGCAGCTACCAAAGTCCTACGAGTGCTTGTACCTGGCTCTAGCATATGAGCTGACCAGCCCTGAAATCGTTGCTCCGCTTTAAAGTAGTATGGCGCATTTTACCCCCTGCAGGTCTGGATCAACTTCGGACCGCTGCTGTACCACTTTGCGGACGCCCATCAGTACTCGCAGGATGACGTAAGTGCCCCGTGTAAGGTCCGAAGCCGTGGTGATTGCACTTTTCCCATGTTCCGCGCGTCGGTTGAGAGTAATGCAACAGGGGGGCATGTATTGCTTGCATAAGCGGGCGTTCTCTGGAAGCGTGAATCAAGGTGACAGAATCTCGTACAAGGAATCCGCTCCTTTCATTGGAGGTCCGCTCCTTTCATTTGCACTTTTTTTCAGCACGAATGCTCACTCGCGCTGACTCTTCGGCTTCACGTTTTCTTTCCCGGGCGGCCGGCTCGTTCTGAACGCTCTCAAGCTCCCTAAGCATTTTCTTTGAACCCGGGACAAGCTCCGTTCTGACAGTCGGCAAGTATTCAAAACCCCTCATTCTCGTGCACTCCCCACCCCCTACATCGCAAGCACGCCCTTATTTGACCAGCAAAACCTCCTTCTTACTGCTTGCCGCGTTTTCGCGTCTGAGCAAACGCGTCTGTGGCTGTTGCGCGCAGGAGCTATCGGTCGAGCTGAGCCTCGAGACTATCCTGCGAATCGCCAGGTCGTTCGGCCTCAAGCTGAAGGTGAGCGCATCGCTGATTAAGCTCGCAGAATGTCAATCACAGAACTGCTGGTGAAATCCAAATGGCCGCTTGAATCAGACGCGCCCTTGAAAGAGTTGAAAGCTGAGGAACACTTTCTTGGTGTCCCTCTCAGTAGGAAAAACGGGAACCTCTGTCTTTGATTGCCCTTGCTTGTGAAGTCATGGCCTGGATTCGCAAAGTGGGTCCACTATCTGAACTTCGTGGTTGCTTGCGAGACTACGGAAGACTGCAGCAGAGGCGATCTTGAGATACCTCTCTCTTCTCTTCACATCGATGCAGCGAGAGCCGCAGTTTGTGTCCACAACATACACAAGCAATCCGCGCTCGATGATGACGGTAGGGCCGCAACCGTGTTAACTCACCTTCTTCCTGATGTATCTTTCTTGCTTTGTGCCAAGAACGAACGGTTTACCTTCTCGTCAAAGCCGGCACTCAGGACCAACAAGAATGACTTTGATAGCGCTCTACCGTACATGTAGCAATGCTTTCCAATCGTTCTGCCGCGCCTTCTTGATTCTTTTGGACGTTCTTTCAGATCTGGTTGCTTTCTTCGGTTCGTCTACCTTTCAGGGAATTCGCAACAGCTTAGCGATTGCACAGTGAAAAACCACAGTCAGATCTGCATCTATGGTTTCACTCTCACCTTTACCGTCGTGTTTAACTTGCAGACCCGATATAACTGTGCATTCTGGACCATGATCAAGGATTGAGCGTTTAACACTGACGAGATCAGACAGAACCGGCGCATGCCTTTTGACAGGCTAATCGAAAGAGTAGCAGGTGCGTTAGGCACCCCTGGCCTACCGTACCAATCAGGACGTTATGTAGGCCAATGATCGCTACAAGCTCCCGCTATTGCTGGCTCTCAAAAAGGGATTCAACGTTCTACTAGATGCAAAAATATTTTCAGCGGAGCAGGATAGACATGAAAGACAGGTACGGAATGTTTGGAAGAGATGGACCGTCATTCACTTAGACAAGTCCAACAGGGGATAGAGCCGGAACATGTCAATTTCTAGGTTGGTCTGCCGCCTGGCTTTCGGCTCACTCAGTGTAAATGCACGATCACGAGCTACGCGCAAAACATGCTCATCTACCGGGCATATAAGCTCCTCAATCAGACTTGGACCGGGAAATCTGATAAATTACGTTCCATTATACCAGGCGTGCTGCAGCAAGATCGCTCCATTCGTTCAAACAAATGGATTCATTATCGGATCAGCGGCCATTGCATTGGCAGTGGTATATAATTGGGCGTCCCATGGCATCTACTAGAACAGCCGGTCTGATCTCTATATACATTACACGTACGTACGATCAGTACGTATTAAATCTGAAATCTTGACATGCATGCGTGCGCGTGAGCTCAGTGAGCTCAGCGAGCCGCCCACCCGTACGGTATTCACGAGCTTAGTACGAAGACAACGTGTGCACTGACGCGTGGCAGGCGGCATGGGCAGCTGATGACAAATAACGTCCATTTGCCTAAGTTTAGTTGAGCATCAGAAGCTAGCCAGCCTGACCGGTTAGAGGAATCAGCATTTACATACGGCGTGATCCGTCTTCATGATGAATTGCGGTTGATTAAACGGTCCATGAGAGCTTTAGCTACCTACCTTTGTAGTACGATTCTGTCGATCAACGTCTAGGGTTCACATGCGGAAGCTCATATGCTGACTTATGGCGCGCAGGCGCAGTGACCCTTCACGAATGAGGCTTGACTCAGCGGTTATTGAAGGTGAACATGTCGATCATATAGTCCACACATGCTGCGCCCCATCGGCGTAGTAGGGCCGGCACGGTAATTCTTGTCAGCTAGAGAGTTAATCAGATCACTTGTGAGTCCGGTTCGCTACACAAGCTGCAGCTGACTCGGACCGTCTTCAATGAAACTTAGTCCTGACAAAATCTGCCCGACGGTAATCAGTTCTACGTTGAATAAAGCCGGCCCCTTTCGCCTTGCTCGGCGGATGCAAGGACAATTGAACATTGCCAGGCCTCACGTACAACGAAATCTGCGGCCGTCAGTGCTACACGACGAGCCAGCTGACAGGTCGGCCGCGCCGTAACCACAATATTGGATCGAGCTGAACTTGAAGTATACAAATCAGTGATGCTTTTGTATACACAGGTTATTCCGCTTGACGTCAGAATGTGATCTAGGCAAGACGATGATTGATCAGATCTGTATGTGTCAGCGGCCCCAGTCATTAGTATATAGCTATCTTACGTACAGTGCTTGAATCAATCTCCATACCTAGTGTGCTTGATTGAAACAAAGAATCTGGAAAGTGTGCGGAGCGTGTGCATGCATTTTGCAGTCCTAGCGCCTCTGTCACTGTTAGTCCGACTACACAGTCTAGTGTGACAGTAGCTAGTTTCCGTCACTCCTTCCTATCATCAACCTCAGCCATCCACTGTCCCTAAATACTGTCCAATGCAAGCGCGCGGAAGCTAGATCTGGCTAGCAAGCTTCCGATAACCTGCGGAAGAGAAAGGACGCAGTCATGTTAGGCCCGGCGTGCTACGATGTCGGTTGAGCCCCACTGAGGAAGGAAAGTATAAGACCTGTGCGTTTGAGAAGCACAGGTCCAGCTTTCACGACAAGTGCAAGTGACGTCTCGTGCCGAGCACTGCTGCCTGCTAAAGTCTGCTCGGCAGTATCGGGCTGATCTTGCTTCCTGATAGGTGATTCCAGTGATTGGAAGCACTGCCGTAAGTAAGAAGAAGCGTTCCAAGGTAATTCTTTGGCTGAGGACTGAAGAAGCGCCACAATCTTTTGCAGATTAGGCTTCCGTCTTAGGTAGGTCATTCAAATCTCGACCAGAGGAACGCACATATCAAGGCCTCGTCCCCTTCTCTCATACTGCCAGATCGGCCTTGAAGCAGTTGGGGCTTCGAAATAGTATCATTTGGCATGTGTGAGTTACACTCACGGGCGGTCTCGCTCCAGGCCTTTTCCAGCGAGGCGTGGTTGATCTCGGGGCTCGACTTCTCCTGCGACTGCTGAATCCGCTTCAAGATCTGCAGGTTCTCGTTCTGGATGCGTTGCAGCTCCAGCTTGCGCGACTTCTCGTTCAAGCTCCGGGTTCTGCAAGAAGCGGGTCAGGGTTGAGCTAGGAAGTTCAAGCGGTCGTTGGACTCGCTGCAAGATCTGCAGCTTCTCGTTTTGGATGCGTTAGAGATCCAGCTTGCAGGCCTCCTCGTTCAAACGCCTCCTTCTGTTTCGCAAGAACACCCAGCAGCGGAACAGACCGGTACATGCAACTTTGAATGTTCGCACGGATTGTGCAGCTGTAGTCCAGCTTAAGTTGTATCCAAAGAACAGAGAGCAAGGAAGGGTTACATAGAGTCGATCCGAAGTACGCCCAGGTCGACCCGCTCCTCATTGAGCTTGATCGGAAACTGGAGAACACACGGGCATTCTGCAAGCTTAGAAGAGTTTTGCTCACTCGCAGGCCTCCCCCTTGAGAAGCGCAGTCCCCGCTGTGACTGGCTTGAGGTCCGTGACTCCTCTCTTGGCGGCAATCTGCGTGAGCTTGTCCAACAGCTTCCCGTTCTGCTTCTCAATCTCGCACAACCGCTCTGCAAAAGGTACGAAATCTCGATAAGACTCCTAGAAAGCGGGATAGAAAGGCTAGTTCTGAAAGTGGTGATGTGGTGGAGCATGGAGCGGTCTTTGTCCTTCCAGTGAGGCATACAGCGTCCCCATATCAAACAGGAACTCTGCTAGGAAGCGAACCCGTCAGTTTTGTTTATGAGCAAAGGACTCATCATTGGCGATTGCCCGGGTTATGCTGAGGCTGTTGAGCTGGTATATGGCAAAGAAGGGGAATCTAGAAAACAGAGAGCTGCAGTCCACGACTCTGTTTCACAACCAACCACCCCGTCTCCTAAGCGTTTGGAATTGGGTCAGGCAGGACAAAGGTCTCATTGCCACTGACGTGGATGGAGCTCAAAGCTTTTAGTTCTTTGCACCGTCTGAGAATGAGAGTAAGAGCGCCAGGGCCCTTCTTTGCCTGCTGTAAGCAGGTAAGCACAGCGCTTCGTCCCTTCACTCCCCCTGACCAAAGTCGCAGTCGGAACTCTCAGCCAGACCGCTCAAACAATTGCTCGGAGGTGACAGTTTTTGGAATGCGTACCCCAAGAAGGGAAGCCAGCAGATGAGTAGACAGCTTAAGAAGGCGAGTAGAAAAAATGCCTGGCAGCAGCTCCACACGACTATAATCGAGTACTGATCCAGGCGACAGGATGCAAATCCCAACTACTTTTCAGATATTGTTTGGCTGGGGGAACTTCACATCAACCCTGGGAAGGGCCAAGCTGAAGCGACTTGTTTGGAGCCCCACTATGTACCCACTCCTTGCAAGCAATAGGGTCCACATGCATGCACAGCACTTCAATCGAAATCAGGTCTGTTCCTGTATGCAATCCTCATGGGTAGTCTGCCTCGAGGGGCTACAATAGTCTCTGAGTAGCAGAATGAAATTCAACCCTGCAGAGGAGTCCGCGCAATGCTGCTATGGCAGTTGACTTGAGAAGGAAACAAATGAGTACCCTGCCCTCATTCCACATTTGCCCGACTCTCTCCTTTAAGGGTGTGGCCAGCGAGAGTCATCCGCTAAAAGCAGCCAACATTCTCCGCCGACCATACCCAGATGATGGATCATCAAACTTCAGTTGCCCTTTCATCCCTGACTGCTGAATCTCTGTATATCGCTCCCATGAAATGTACAGTCCAGGATGCAAGTCCATCATTCCTAGCACTATTCAGATTCAACAAGGCAGAACCATCTGCATCTCAGGCCCGCCCTCACCTTCCTCCAATTGTGCCCTCTTGCGATTCACTTTCATCTTTCCAAAGTGTTCCGGCTGCGCATTGTCTACAGACGGCCTCATTGTCTGCAACTTGGACTCATGAATCCGCCTAGCTCTCTGCTCATCTTGGGCGGCAATCACTTTGTTGCCTACCAGGACCCCAGTCTTCCGTGTGATCCTCATGGTTGCCGCCCTCTTTTCCTCCCCTCCACGGAGGCAGCTTTGTGCTTCTGAAATAATATCAGGATGCAGAAAGCGGCACAGCCAAGATATCTAATGTAAACATCGCCATCAGAGTCCTCGCAAAGGTGTAGCCTGCTAAGACTGATCGGATCTATGCAAGGGGCTCGAAGTTGAACTTGAAGACGCATTCAACGTTTCCTAGTGAGGGCGGTGTGTGCCTGACCCCCTTTTCTTTGCGAGGGCTGGCAGGCTCGCTTCAATTTAGAACCCTAATTCGGACACCTTCGCGGGCCGCTGCCTGAGTAGATCAAGATTCAGTGGTTTCGGACGCCTTGCCAGGCCGATCCCGGCACTGGCACAGGTTTGCGTACAAGCTGCCGTCCGCACGAGGGGTCCCCCCAAGGGCCAAGTCTGACGGTCTGATCTGATGAAGAGGGGAAATTTCCAGGATTTAAAGAATGAAATATGAGAGGATAGTCTTATATGCAGCCTCCCAACTTGTAAACGATAGAAGTTTTAGCTTAACGATAAAAAAGAAATAAACCCATCTGCACCCCACAACCCCCAACGATTAAAGATCATTAAACCCACCTAGCTTAGTGTGCGGTTTAGAGCTGGGGAGCTAATATATTCCTGCCGCTTATATATTTCAGTCCAGGCTCGGGCCACATCTCGAGTCGGGTACCGGCACCGGTACCTACCTCGATATAAATCTGCATAATGCAGCTGGTGCATGCTCAATGACATGTGATCATGATGCAGCTCCTTCTGCTTCAACGTGACCCTTCAAAACTGCGGTTCAAGCTAGGGCCCTCTAGGGTGAATTATGCACTCTAGAGTTTTCAGCCTCAGAGCAGATGGGAACTTCCACACAAGATCCTCGCTGCATGAAGTTTTGTAGCCTTTGCTGCTTCGCAACTTGCATTCGATCTGTGCACCAGCGGCGTCGGTTATTCACAAGAGGTGAACGCTGCGGAAGTTACGACGGAAGGATATTCGCTTCTAGACTTCAATTAGCGTCAAGAACCGGATGATTATAATCTGCAAGAGATTAAAGGGGATGAACAGCTGATGAAGCTCAGCTGCGCACGAATAGCACGTCCCAACAACAATCGTGACTACCTTGAGCGAGAAATGCGCAGAGGCCTGACAATTATAACAAGCAGACACTAATCATAATGCATCAAGAAAAGGCTAAAATGACAGCGCCCCTAAGTGGAGTCTCTTCAAACATGATCAATACCCTCTGTCTTTATGTTCTGCTGATTCAAGTGGGTCTCTTAGGAAGAGGTGTCGCCGACTATGTAGAGACCGCACCTCGACCAGGCGCCCCCCTTCCTCCAGCAATCTCTCGTGGAGATTGCCCCTTGGTTTTCTTGCAATCAGACATCCGGCATGCCAAGGATTCGGCGTGCTCTTCCAGTAAGTGGCTGTTGCATTCAAAGGCTTGTTTTGTGAGCTGCTGCTTCTGTCCAATCTTAGAGTCCAGAAGTGGCAGCTTTGAAATAGAAGGCTCAACAATGTTCCTTTCTTCGCCAACAATTTTAGCAAAGACAGACCGGGGTCCATCAAAGTATCACGAAGCTTCTATTGTTTTCTTTCGAGCTGGTCGCCAGGCAAGACCTCAGAATTCAGATGTGTGATCTTGGTTCTTGAGGTTGCATAAGTGTTGCCTGCTGCCAAGAAGCAAATGAGGTCTTCAATTAATATGATGTGTTGATATTGACCAGCTATGTGACCGCCCTAAGAAGAACGCTCTCCTGGTGCTTTAGGCGTGGCAACCACCACCGCGAATGGAGCAGACCTTCCAACCAGGTGCTGTAATCAGATTCGGGCAGCGTTGTTCCAAGCAAGGACGCGTTATGCAAATGACACCGGCCGCCTGCTGCTTCCACAAGCGTCAGCAGATGCATGCGTCCAGGTAGGCCCGTCTCAGTCGTTTTGCACACTGCCTCATCCCTCACCACAGTATCGAAGGACGCCCTGGAAGTCAGCTGGAAGCACGATCAGAGTATGGTTTCAGGCCATCTCTTGTAAATGTTTCATTGTCAGGGTATCCTAGACTGGTTCTTCTTGTGAGTTTTAGAGCTGGGATGTATGTCCGAAGGTAGTGCTCTCCAGCTGCTGTGCTTGTCATTGCGAAGCATTTGCTGGGGTTCTCAATGTTCAATAAAATCCAATCTGGTCCTGTCTTGCTTACAACTCTCCTGCTCATGATACTTGAACTTGAACTATTATATTGGATTACCAGGACGCACTGGAGAACAACAGGGCCTGGCAAATCAGAGAAGTGCAGTGTCTGATAGCAAAATCACAGTCACGGTGTGCAAAGAACCAAGTAGTGCTTTGAACCCTCAAATGCCGACTCCTAGCCCTGACCTGCAGAATTTCAAGGCTTCCTTGTTGGCGGCTGGAGTACCTGATGTTGGAAACTGCAATATTACCAGTGCAACACTCTCTGAGGAGACAGGCGAGGCTTGTGGAAGCAACCTCACAACCGTATACGACTTTTGGTCTGCAACAAACCGCACTTTTCCAGGTGAGGACATAGTACACTTCCAAAAATACATGTCTGCAGGTTTTTGAAGTACTCACAATGACATAAAGGGAGCATCAGCCATCTCATGTGCGGGAGCAGCCGTGCGCTCCCTAGATCATGCAAGAAGATTGTTGAACGTGGCACATAGCAACGGACCTTTACTTGGGATACAAAGCCAAACAGACATCGCGTTTATGATGTTGCGGACGGCGGAAACTTTTCTCCCGCTTCTCTCTTCAAACTATGCAAGAGTGCAGGTTGATTTGACCTCTTATTTCAGGCAAGGGACATGCTTGCAAAGAGGCTTTGTCAGGAAATGCAGGCTTAGCCAATCGTGAAATTTTTGCAAGTGCATCAAAGGCTCTTATAGCCTTACTGTATTTGGTACTTTGATCCAGGTACTGTGGGTGCCAGCTGCTATGTTGCGACTCAAGGGAACTGTGGCCTCTGCACCACTTTGATCACAAACAAGATCTTGTCTCTTGGGGGCAGCACCACTGCTTTACTCAGCACACCAACATGCCAAGGTAAGGTCGCCTGGCAGAGCGCTTCACTGGCCTCCATGCCAGCTAGAGATTGCCAGACAAAAACGTCCTTAGCCTTTCTGCTTGTGTATTGAACCCGTTTGTACTAGGAGGACTGATAAGGATTATTTTTGACATATGGAATGCAGTCTTGGAAAGCTTGGCCGGCATAAATGTTCAGGAGGCAATGGTATTGCAATAAGAGTTGTTTTGGTTGCAATCTGCTAAATTGATCCAGACTAAGACCCTGTAGGATCCTGCTAAGAAGCTTTGAATCTGCAGCAATTCAACCTTTCTGGCTCACATTCCTGTGTCACCGTTGCAACATAGAGAGAATCCACATGCACCTCCTTAATGCCTTGCAGGTTTGGCCCAGATTGCGATGACTGCAGCTGCTTACCCTGTTGCTATGGCCAACGGGATCTCCCAGTGCCTACACGCCGTTGACATCACTCCCATCATACCGGCAGCCAAATGCACGGCGTTTGACTGGGAGGCGCAAAACTTTACCTCCATAGCCCTCAGCTGTGGCCCGGCCCAGATCCGCCCGGATCGCTGTTGCGACCTCATTATCGGAATGTTTGGCCAGCAGAACGGGTTCTATTTTCAAAAGACAGGGAGTCCGATCCCTCAGGTAAGCAAGCTGCCCTTCTACTCATGTAGCTGACTTTACCGTGTTACATTGGTCTGGCAAAAAGGCCCACTGAGAAGCTGGTAATTGAGAGCATTGGTAGCTTCATCCGGCCGGTGAGTACAATCAGACTGTTGAGGTTCTAAAAATCGGAACATATGCAGAGAGTCTGCAAAATGCAAGCGACGATCCTTGCTTGACTCCAAATGGACTGGCAGCTCTGGCCAATTGCATGTGCCAAGGTTGAGAAGCTGTCACCTGCTGCGAGGACTTTCGCTCTGACCTCGCCAACTATTCCTGTAAGAGCCTAAAGTCGGCAAATCACCGAGTGCAGCGCAGCTACAAGCAGACCCGAGTGGCGACCCGCAAATCCCGTCTTTCTCATTCTCATTGTCCATTAACACTTGTTTGCAGGAAGAGGCCCAAGTGTGCTTCTCGGTGTTCAAGGAGGCCCTCTTGGCCCACGGCGTTTCGCTCTTTGTTCTGGATACATGCGGCCACGCGTCGGCTGCAACCCCCCTCATCAGCGTTGGCTGCTACAATTACACCACTGCTTACCAACGCGTTCCAAGCCGGTATATGAACCGGATCGCCGCCTCATGCAACCGTTCTACCAGCGATTGCAGCCGCTGCAGGCCGACTTTATATGGCGAAGTCGCCAACGAACTCGCAAACACCGATGACACGAGCTACTTCAGCTCCTGCGCAATTATGCTGGCACTGCAATTCTCAGCCTCACTGTCTAGCCTGGACGAGATCACCGCTTGGCAGAACTGCTACTTCCGGTTCCCACCCCCGTTGACGCTTTCGCCTCCCATTTCTCCGAGTAGCGCTGGCATCAAGTGGTGGCTAGTGGGAACCTTGTCCGGTGTCGGAATAATGGTTCTCCTCCTGGTCATCCTAGCGGTAGTTGTTGTCAAGCGCTTTCCTCTCACCAAAGTTCAGTACAACTCCAAGCTGGCAGTGCTGAGCCGCATGTCGTCAATAAGAAAACGCGCCTTACAGCAGCGGTTGCAAATCTACAGCAGGAAGCAACTAGAGAAGGCGACGGGAAACTTCGATGACAGTCAACTTTTGGGTAGTGGGGCTTCCGGAAAAGTGTACGTTGGTGAGCTCAATGGAGAGGTGGTTGCAATCAAGGTTGCTATCATCAAGACGGGAAAGAATGGAGCAAAGGTGAGACTGTTACATCATTTCAGCCCTTCGCATGCATTACGCGCTCAGTAAAAGTTGCAAATAGGTATACCTGAACGTACGTTTCTCCGAGAGGCGGCAGCTCGACTGGAGTAAGTGAAACGTATTTAGACGCGTGATCGGCCAGACATTTGACAATTTGGAGACGAGGGGCGTATCTTCCGCCATCAGGACTTCGCTCATGAATCCCAACTGCTCTTCTTTCAGCGGGGGTTTTGTCCGTTTGACAGGAAGCGTGGAACGAGATTGCGACTTTAGCCCGATACCGGCATCGCCACCTGGTGTTCTTGAAGGGGTGCTGCTTCTTGGAGCCTCACTGCAGGTGAAATTGTTTGAGCCCATTCGCAAACCTCGGGCCTAGATGAATAAAGCAGTAATCTACATTGCGTTGTAGAATTTGTTAGCTCGCTAAACTGATCACCAGACGATGATTGTAAGCAGGACCATCCAAACTCTTCTTCAACAGTATCGAGACCCGTTTGGTCGTCTCGGTTTTACGTTCAAGAATGATCAGGCCCTATGCAAGCAGGTAATCGCTTCCAATGTATAAGCCTGGCTCTTTGTGGCGTGTAAGGCGCCGTGTCTAGAACGCCCTTGCGTCATGCATACGCTCATCGCGTCGGTCCTTACCCTCGTGGCTAAACCGGTACGTGATTGGTGTTATGATCAAAATTCCCGTTAACCAAGCTTGGTTCGAGTTGAGCTTCGCTTACAGAGTGTCTCATTGGCGAGCAGCAGTCTGAAGAAGACCTAACTTCCGTCGCAATTGTGGTTTCCTTTCAGCCTCGTTTACGAGTTCGTGGAGCAAGGCAGTCTGGAAGACCATCTTTACCCTGTACAAGGCGGCACTCAGCAGTCGTTCAGAAGTTCGGAGTCGCGCTTCTTGGACTGGCCGACTCGCGAGAAGGTCGCGCTCGGGACTGCTCGCGGGCTGATCTACCTCCACAATGTGAGTGATCTTTTGCAGTTTCAGGCTTAAGGTTCATTTGTGAGACCGGCAAGAAGGGCCGCTGTTTAGATCGAAAGCAACAGGTGTCACTAACTTTCGCTTCGGTCTTGTTACTTTGCAGCCCAGAGGGCTGTCTAATCTTGGTTTCAATCGGGTTACTGCGTCCGATACTTCTCTTTTATTGTGCAATGGTCCTGAAATATCCACCGCCGACGTTTGGTACATCGCCGTGATTCAGAAGCATTTCTCAGTCTGTCGCTTTTGATTGCTAGCAATCAGTTGCTCCTTCTTCTTCCTTTTGAGAGTGCCAGCCATCAGCGGGAGATGCACTCTAAAGAGACAAATAACCATCTTTCCATCAGCCAACTGAAGCCACGTCCCTCTCCTCACTGTGCTCCAGGATTGCGTTCCGCAGTGCATACATCGTGACGTGAAACCGAGCAATATCCTGCTCACGCGTGACTTTGAGGCGAAGCTATCCGACTTCGGCCTTGCGAAACAAACGGACGCGGACGTCACACACGTCACAACGGGTTAGTGGCCTTGCCGTCTTTATGGCCATTGCATAATGTGTTGGAAGAACAGTGGTAGGCGCAGCTTTTCCGCGGCTGCGTGCGAAAATGCGCCCCGGAATAGTTCGTGAAGGCCCTTGGAAACAGAACAAAGGACGAAACATTCGCGCATAAGCAAGGTAGAAGCGTCATGTCAGCAGGAATCTAGGCAGGTTTTGTCTCGGGTCACACGGCCGTCTTGACGAGAAAGGCTCCGGAATAAAAGGCTCCGCATCTGCATAATGCAGGGAGTTCGACATGAGCCGTCGGTTCATTCTGCTGCCGAAATTGTTTGATTACTGCGAGAAGTAGACTCTCACAGTGGCTTTCAATGTTCTGGCCGTCATCGACCCTCTAGATAAGGGGACGAGAAGTAGAGGAGGACACTGCTTCGTCACTTTGCTGCCGAAACCGTCCGCCAATTGTTGGCTAAATTCAACAATGCTTTTTGTAGGTCAAAAATTTCCTTCAATCTCCACAATCTGACCGCGGTATCGTCGATCTCCGCAGCGGTCGCGGGTACGTGGGGCTTTCTGAGCCCGGAGTACGTGGCTACCGGAAAGCTGACGGATAAGAGTGACGTGTACAGCTTTGGGGTGGTGTTGCTAACGTTGGTGGCCGGCAGGCGGCCCACCGTTCAGGACGTTCCTCCAGAGCAGGCAAGCCTTCCGCTCTGATCTCGATCCGTTTCGCCGTTCCGTTCCATCCGTGACGGACGCATCTCGACCGTGCGCGGAGCCGAACTAACAGATCCTCATGTCCGTTCTCATATTATTTGCAACCTATGCTGATCTGGGTGCTTGCGACATAGACGATGTTGAAACACTCTTCCGTCCGATAACTCTCAGGTGCATTTGACGGAATGGGCATGGACGCTGGCGGAACGGAACGAACTTAGGATGCTGTTTGACCGACAATTATCTATGGCGGAACGAGAGGAGCATGCGGAAAGCATGGAGCGGATGGCCCGGGTAAGCTCAACAGGAAATCTGACTTTACCAAGGATTGATCTGAATGGGTTGAGTTGCCTTTCTTCCCACTAATTAAAGTGCTGGTTTTGGGACCCGCTAACCAGGTTTCGGTGGGGAGCGGACCTAAGTCCTGTGTACTTGGAACCGTCGTTTATGGCACGTTCCAATTTTTTCTTGCTTTGACAGGGATCTCTGGCTGCACCGGTGGTAATGTTGCCTGTCTCCGGCGTTTGTGAGGTGTTGAAAGACGGATCTTCCACGGTGCCAAAACTTTAGGCCCTGCGCTTCGAACACGCTTCAGCAGCGATCCCAACAGCAGTCTGCGCTTCATTAGGGCCGATGAGATGGGGAAACTGGCCGACAGAACGCGTCCGCAATCTGACTTCCACCGTTTTCATCTCCTCCTAGCAACTACGCAACCGGGTCCTGGCACGTCACCAACAGATAACCTGAAACTGCCTTACAGACTCTTCTCGACAACGGCTGAGATTTGACTGGACCTAGCTGTGAACCAGTTTGTGACCAGCCCTTAACCAGCCTAAATCATGAGACCTAAATCAGCTCTAACCAGCTCCTCACCAGCTCTGAACCAGCTCCACATCATGAGCGCCGTCTCATCCCCTGCTTCTCGGACCGCAGATTGCCCTCCTGTGCGTCCACACAACCACCAGCATCCGGCCCACCATGCTGGAGTGCGCGGACATGCTTTTGCAAGAAACGGAGGTGCCCCGTCTTCCGCGGCGCCCTATGACCCTCTATTCGATATCGTCGTTGGCGTCTTCTCCGGAGACTGGCACTGCTAGTTAGATGCCCTCCTCGTGGCAGAGAAGCTCAGACCGGAGCGAGGGTGCATCGCAATCTCGGGGGCGTATGAGTAGACTGGAGGAAACGAACTTGTGGATAGAGAGGAAAGGAATTAGAAGGTGGTGACCATCTTGGTTTGCAACACGAGAACGTTTGGAAGCGACCGTCAAGCAACTACAGCTAGGGTAGGAAGTCAACGGGTTTAGCGCCGGACGCGGCAGTTGATGTAGGGCACCAAGGACAGGTATGTGGGCAATGAAATATTGCCACCCGACGGTCACTTCCATTTAATCTAGTAGACTGACGGTCTGAATATATTCGCACACATTCTTGACAGTCATCAAGACGGCGTTGTAACGTCCTTACTAAGGTCTTGTGACTACGAGTCTCAAATTCCGAAGTTTGCAGGTTGGCACCACTCAAAGTCAAGATTATACATTCGCCAGAGCAGATTGTTTCATGACTCACTGTCAGACATGGCGCTGCAACTTGCGCACTGTGCATGTGTGCCAGGTCCCGTTACGGTTGGTAATTTATCGATAGCTTTAAGTTCCGACTTGCCATGAAGATTTTTTTCAGTCGTTGTGTGCCCCAATCGATTAAACATGTCCGCGTACATACTATGATAGGGAGCTAGTCTACCATGCATGCGGCTGATCCGACGAGTTGCAATGCATGATACCGCATGCGGAGTTCAAGTTTGGCTCCAGCGCGCGAGGCCGGCCTGCTGTACAATCAGCCGCCTCCTAATGTTGCACATCAACTGCACTGCCTGTGTGACGAAATTAACGCGGGTCTCCGCTAAAGAAAGGGGTACACTTCCGGCGGAGCTTCCGGCGCCGCACCATGCACATCAGCCGTATTCACCGGCACTCTGCGGAGCCTCTCATATTGCATCATGCTCATGCTTAAGTAGTTGGTGAGTGGCCATGGACAAGAAGATGCATCCAAAGGCGCCTTACTTCTCTAACACCTCTTCCTTGGGTCAATTGGAATTAGAGTTCAGTCATGTCCGGATTCACAATACACTGTCTACTCTGTGGACCGGATTGCTCTATGGACGGGACTGCCGACCTGTCAACCTTATCCGGAGGTTACATGCATGCCCGTCGACGCCGGCCGGAGGTTTACAAGGTTTACCGAAGAGGGGCGGCCGCGCCAAAGCGCGCGTGCCCCTTTCTCTTGCGGCTAACCCTTATCATTTCGTCACAGCTGTGACGGCTCTCCCCGTTGAAAAAAGCGTCCTCGCGTCTATGATTCCTGCAAGATTGTTGCTCTCCGCTGCAAAGACGAGCGAACGTGGTGCCGTTAAAAACTCCCTTCGAAGCAGGCTTGCCTTACTTCGATGATCTGATAGGGAGAAAAGGTACACTCGACCGTCCGCAGCCCTCCGTTCCGCAGCTCGCCGCTTTCCTGCTTTCCTGTGGGTTCCACCACGTGGCAGCCAGCCCGTGGGCGGTGCTCACGCGCTTCTCGTTCACCCGTAGACCGTTTGCCAACTCCGTTGTCAGCCTGTCACTAGTAAGCTTTCGGCTTTCCTGCACACAGCCCGTGGGCTTTCCGCAGATTATTTCAGAACACTGAGCAATCAGCCCGTAGGCCTTCCGCTTTCCTGCACACAGCCCGTGGGCTTTCCACAGATTATCTCAGAACACTGAGCGATCAGCCCGTAGGCTTTCCGACCGCTTTCCTGCACATAGCCCGTGGGCTCTTCGCAAAGTCCTTCGAGAATAGAACCGATGAGCCCGTAGGCTTACGGTCAGCTCCGTATTTGGGCCCAGGCACCTGCCCGGCACCTTCTTCTGGCGGCCGGTCTGAAGGACTTTGACAATTCCGGCAACTGAATCTTGAGCTAGTGCCGCAATCGAATCAACGCCAAAAGCCTGCAAAAGCTTTCCAAAGCGAGACCCGCAGGTCTGCTTCGAATTTTTGCAAATGAAAACACGAACCCGCAGGCCTCCAAAAGTCCCGCAAAGTCAGCCTGTAGGCTTTCTGCAATTCCAGGCGTCAGCCATCAGACTTCTCACCTTTCCGCACCTCAACCCGGCCGCAGAGATTCTCCGCGTTTCCGCACTCACGCTTGGATGCTTCTGCAAGTCATCCGGAGTCAAGCTGCCAATCAACCCGTAGGCTTTCCGGCAGCTCCGTTCTTGAGCTTGTAGGCCGTCCGCTGCTTCTAAGCGACAACCAGTGGGCTTTCCGCCTTTCCGCACATCGGATTTGTAGGTTCCCCGCGATTCTGCACTTTAGCCCCAGGCTCCCCGCCTTTTCGCACATCAGCCCGTAAGCTTCCCAAAATTTTGGCAGAATCAAGCGGATCAGCCCGTAGGCATTCCGACAGCTCCGCTAATCAGCCCGTGGGCTTCCCGTGCACTTCGGTCCGTTGGTTGTCTGACGTCCATCTTGGCACGTTTGCTCGTACAAACAGTGCTCCGATCCTCGGAACGACAGTCCTTCCCATTCACGAACCTTCGTAGATGCTTGCAGGCCGGAAAATATGCACATCTGATTCGTCAGAAGCACTTCCAATAAAGATCCGCAAATCTTCTCCGTTCTGAAGTAACTTCGAAGACAAGCCGCAGCTCGTAAGCTGCTTGCATGACTGCATGACTCAGGTCTGCCAACTTTCACAACGTCTGCTTGAGACCTAGCTGCGGCGGTGGGCACGCCAAGCAGGCTAACTAATGGGAATTTCCACGTTCCGAAAAGAGGACAAGCATCCGTGGATACCCGTTCTTCTAGAAGTATCATCAGTTACCTTTCTCAAACCCCAAGCACCTTGCCCACACTCTCGCTCGCGCTTTCCATTTATCCAGATGGATTTGGAGTTTCACCTCCTTCACAACTTATGCAGTCAGACTCGTGAGTAAGAGCACAGGCAAACAATCCTTATGCTGGTTTTTGAAAGCACACCAAAGCGAGGCCCGTCACAATCTGCTCCGGCCACCATTCTGACCATTCCACAAACCTGTTTTCTTACGAGATCGACCCCGTAGGGTCTGGTCCCTTCCCCTAGCAACAGAGTGGCTGACCCGGCCACAACTTCGATCACCTTCCGCATCTGCATGCTCCGCTTGCGGAGCAGTACAAAACCATCATTTGAAGTCATCCGCAGCTGTGCGGAATCTGGCCGTGACCAAAACTCCCCTCAGCTGTGAACACACACCGCGCAGACATCCTTGGATACTGCACGGTCTAAACAGTTTACTACGACAAGTAACCGGCCGCCTCCGCATGCTCGTAAGCTTGAGCGAAGAGACGACTCACCTCGCCTGCAGGCGGCTCGCAAACCAGTACTTCCGCCGCCTCAGAATTTTCTAAAGTCCTCGTCCTTTTTCTCCGACAGCTCCGCCGGTGGCGGCCATAAAAGCTGCAGCACTCGTTCCATTGGGCCTTGGCCTCATTCGTGCATTCACGCAGCACGTGACCTCTCTGAAGGCACCGTCTACAGAGATGCGAAGATAGTTCCGGTGCTTCTCTGACCGCCGGTTGATCAACATTAGTATCGACTGCCATTTTCCTGCTCAACCGCGCTACCACCGCTTCGCTCACCTCCTTGGAGGTGTGGACACGGGAAACTCTCGGCTCCACCAGATACTCATCTATGTGCCGTTCGTTCTCCGAGCGTTGCAAATGCTCGACTGCACTCTCAAATTCTGTGTGCCAGCAAGCACTAAGCCGTAGCTCTGGAATCAGTCCTCGACGGAAGTGATCCAACTTCCGTGTTTCCGGGATTTCCAACGCCGCGAAGAGCCGCCTCAACCGAGTGGCATACTCCCCAATAGAGGAGTCACCCTGCTTCGCCTCAAGAAGAGCTAAGCTCAAGGCTTGCCAAGGCTCGCTACAGAACTCTCGCTCAAAACGGGTGCGGAAATCCTGCCACGAGAGGTTGGCCGTGGCCACCTCCATGGCCCAGGTCTTCGCATAATCACCCTGGCACATCAAACGTGCAAAAGCCAAAGCCTGTGCATCAGACAAGTTATGAAGGATTCTGTAATCCTCCCATTCCTGGAGACACACCTGGGCTGCTCGTCCAGCTTCTCCACCAAACGGACGAAGCCGGAACTCACTCCCGAGCCCCACCCGGTTCTCCATGTCTGAGCTTCGCCAAGGCCAAGAGTACCTGCAATGATTGTCAAGAAGGTCATGCTTCGAGTACTACGTGCCGCTTGGACCCAGACACCCACGCCTTTCCAAGCTTTGGCCGCCTCATCATGAAGATATCGCGACGTCAGCTTTGCCGCAAGCTGCCCGGACTTCCAAAAAGTACCTGAATCAAAATATTCAGAGCTTTTCAAACCGAGTACATGCCCGCACTTCGCAGGATATTCAGGTACCGTGCTGCCGCAAACCACCTGCGGACAATCAGCAAAAGGACATTTCCGATGCCAGCCTGCACCGTGCAGGATGTTCAAGCGCCGTTTCTTTTATTGCCGCAAGCTTGCGGATGAACAACAAAAGAATTGTTCACAGCTTTGAAACAGGGAAGTCCAGTACAAGCCTGCGCAGTGCAGGACAAACAAGTACAACCGTTTCTTCGGAGCCGCAACCAACTTGCGGATCAACACCGGAAGAAACTCGGACATTCCGCACGCCTGCAAGGTTCCGGTACCGCCGCAACAAGCAGCATGAAAGTACACTGAAAGATGGAGGAGGCCAGCCACCCCGCTGGATTACCAAACCTCCGGCACACGCCTGCTAGGCCAACAGTGTGCCGCTCTTCACATTGCCGCGCAACGCGGATGAACAATGGAGCACCTTTCAGAACCGAGGCGACCTGCATCAAAAATCCAAGCCACCCGGTCAAACGTCTCACTCAAATTGAGAGGAGAAAACGAGCCTTCTACCTTGGCCCTTCAACCAGTGCGCAAAGCAAAGTAAATGATCGACAAATGAGATGTGTCACGCAGGCGTCTCAACCGCGCCGCGCACTCTTCCGCCATGTTGAGTCCTGCTTCTGACTACAGCTTCTTATCGCTTCCACTGCAATTGCTGCTTCAATGACAGAAGCTCCCTTCTCAGTGTTAGCGGGCTGACATGGAAAATCATGCAGCGGCTCTCTCCCCCGCCTTCAAAGTGGCCGCCCCGGTCAACGCTTCCCGCCTGCGGACCGATTTTCAGGCTACCGCTGGTGGGATGGCCGGCTGCAGAACTTGCAGAATCTCCAGTCTGCCGCACACCCCCGCAACAGTCACAGTGGTGGTGACCCGGTGGTGAAATCAGCCTCTGAAACTCAGCGGCGGAATGATTCCCCCAGGCCGCCGCCGGCTGTGACCAATGATTGCACGGCTCAAACTGACGACCGAAGTCCGAAGCAAGGTTCC